AGATATTTGTTAAATTTGCTTAAAACAGAATACCGTTTGAGTCGATATGTATCTTACGTGATTTTAATGTTAAAAGTAATTACAGAGGGACTAAATAGTTTAAATATCGTGCATCCTGCGAATAGTCTGGAATTCTGTTGTGTGGCATAGAGGACACCACAGACCTTGTGGGACTGAGGACAGTGCTCTAAGGTTAGGTAAATGATTTAGTCAAACGTCTGTTTATTCTACTGGGAAGGAGGGAATTGATTACCATGTTATTGGCATTGAGCAGCGTCAGAGCACCAATATTCAGAGAAAATAATATAGTTGATGGAAGAAAAGTTGTTAAAATACATGTCAACTTAGCTACTACCTAGATGGCTGTTCCCGTACTTTAGTATTATTGTCCATGTTTCTAGTCTTGATTTAAACATTCTACGGTGCATGCTGTTGAAGATTAGTACTTAGAAATGTTTGTAGATGTCAGTAAATGAAAGGGGCAAGAAAAGCTTAGAAATAATTGTTTGTTCTGGCAACATTACATACAGTAGTGTGGGGTTTGAAAAAGGAAGAGAACTTGATTGTAAACGTCAAGAGAAAACTGATGTTGGAATGGCTAAAGGGCACACTACTGCAAACATGATGGATATAGGGTCCACAAGTCATGGAGGTTCATATTTGTTTATTTATTTCTATATATACCAGGTACATTGGGAATATGATAGATAGGATGGTAATTAAAATTTGTTAAAGCCACTATTACGCGTAGCGTTTCGGGCAGGTCCTTAATCCAGGAAAACCCAGATAGGAGAGGGATGGAGGGTCCACTTGCAGGTGTGTGATGGGTATGGGGTCTACTACCGGGCACAGGATAAGTTTGACAGTAATAGTAAAGTGTCGACGCCCCATATTTATACCCCATAAATATCACCGAATGACTGCAGGTTAATGCGTGATAATAGAGAAAAGGTTATGAGGTTGAGGCCGGGAGTGTTGTGAAGTCGTGGTATTAAGAAGGAATGTTGTAGGATAGGATTGACCACAGTAGGTCTAAGGTTAGGTGCCCCTACCCCCCTTCACAAGGGTAACAAACGGAGACCTATATAAAAGAAAATAGTTACGGTTTACCAATTCGTTATTACCTAGAATAAATTTCGGCAAATGTTAAAAAATGTTGCTCTTAATTTGTCCGTTTAATAAATTGAGAATCTTAAATTATGAATGAATGAATACTTATGTACCTTAAATAATTGGAAAATAATATTAGCAAGTAGTTTAGGCAATATTCCAGCATTGTTAATGAAGTGTCAAGTTTTACTTATATGTTTGTCTCTCGTGCATACTTGTCTGTTCCTGTTTATATTTGAGTAGTTGATTGGCAATACCTATCGTGTGACTAGTTGTTCAGCCTATATTCATCGTGTGGGCGGTAGTAAAGGTTGCTAGTGTGTAAGGAATAAGGAATGTTTAATGAATTGGATATACGTAACGGTCAATAAAGTGCACAAAAGTAATTTAAAGTTGACATTCCTAATGATAAAATCCTCTCTTTCTCAGGTCGAGGCGACTACAGGCAGATGAGGGAAGGCAACGAGGAGAGTGTGTTAAACATGTAAGACTGAATAAAACAATGCAGTGGGCTTCACCAGTTGTGTTTGAAGAGGTCGCTTTTTGATGGCACCTCGCGGTGATTGTAGGCTGTAAATTTTGAAAATAAATATTAAATTACGACCTGGAATACTATTAATTTATCCTACCTTGGCTGTTTAAGGAAGTGTGATTTGTATTGCTGTGGAGAATGTTCTCGGGGCGCGGTGTGTGAGTAGGCTGTTAGATGGTGCTATTACCCTGAACCCACAACTGAGATTATGGGGTATAGTTTTTTAATAACAGCTCCCTTGTGATGAATATCTGTTGCTCAAAGAAGTGTGTATTAACGATAAGACCTATTAATGTATGACTTTGTGTAAATATATAGGTCCTGAAATTGAAAACTCTAAGTAGTTAACATTGTAACTATGAAGTGTGAATGATAGATGAAATGGTTGATGTAATAATGTAAGACGAGGTCTGATAAAGACGTTTTGTGGCCTGTGTAATAATTTTTTGCGCTACCGCTCACAGGACGAGTATGGTGTGCACAATAAAGTAATCGGGTTCGGCGGTAACAATAAAAAATATAAGGTGTTAATAGACCCAAGAATACTTCCAAAGGAGAATGGCTTTCATGCAACGCCTATCTCGTATCTTGCATTTAGAAATGGCATTGAAGCATATGGGATTGTGGGTGGTAAGTAGTGTTGGTAAACATTTCGGCAAACTTGACAGTACGAAGTGTGCACTCCATCGATAGGAAAAAGCATAGTAATATTAAGCTACTTGTTTTAAAGTGTAAAAAAGATGGGCTATAGAAGGAGCCATTAGTTCCAGAAGTTGCGTTTCTGTTCTGTTATTGGCATCCTTGGTGGTATTTAGCGGTTTGTGACTGTTACGGACGTTTGATGGTGCTACATAGCATTCCAGGTTTGGTGCCTTGTTTTGATAAATAGTTATTAGATCCAGAAGCAGGGCAATTGTAACAAAAGTCGCACAGGTCTGCAGAAAACGGGAGGCTGAACTGCAGAGGGTTTTGATTTACGGTTAAAGGTCAATTACGTTGAAGTTGGCTGGATAAATAGTTCGTCGTGGGGTCTGGGAAGGCCCCAGTCATCTACAGGACCTATACAGTTGGTACGTAGGTCAGGCGTGACGCATTTGTACTCGTCTAGATATGATTGTAGGCTCGGGTCGTTGCTCCCGCCTCTAGATTGTCAATAGAGTTGTGTATAGAATGTTGATCATATTGGGCTCCTTCATATCTAAATTTGAATTAGTGTATAAAGTGCCTCATTCACATCGCTGGCTATTGGATTATGTGTTAACTACCGATACTGAACTGTTTAATAACTGGTTCGGGCAAGCATTTTGGAGGGTAGAGCGCCGGTGTCGCTTCATGCAGGTCGGTGTTCAATCCCCGAGGTGCAAAGTTGTTTTGGAGAAATCGTTTTACCCGTAATCCTTGTGGTGACCAAGTGGAATGTAATGTTATGAATAGGTAGCTAGTACTATGGGTAGTGTGGTGTGTATAGGTAGCTATGTATAATATGGTATGTGCAGAGTCGTATGTATAGGTAGCTATGTATAGTGTGGTATGTATAATAGTTTGATATGTATAGTGTGCTATGTATAGGTAGGTATGTGGAGTGTGGTATGTATAGTGTGGTATGTATGGTGTATTTGAGTGTAGTGAAGGGTAGTGTATTGTACGGTACTGTATAAAATATATATATATTGCAGTGTACTGTATTGTAGCCTGTAGTTTGCGGTAGTGTATGTAAGTAGCTTAGCGTAGCCTAGTCCAGTCTAGCGTAGGTTGGTTAGCTTAACGTAGCATAAGATAGCGTCATTGTCTAAAAGACGACTCACAAGAGTTCAAATGATCAAAGTGTAACGCACAAGATCTTTATTATTGAAAATGAATGATGAGTTTGCGTAAATGCGTAGAACCCTATTTGATTGCATGAGAAATATAATGTTTTATACTAGTTGCAGTGTGCATGTATGGCATAAATGACGTATATAAGTAATCATTGGTGCTGTTTAGAGAGGGAAATGAAGGGTTGTAAAGGTAATATTGCAATAACAATGGTCGTTAGTGAAAGTAGCGTCAGTTGCTATACACCGCCATTGTAGGAATGTGCTTCGTGCCCATCTCACGTGAAAAATGTGCATATTAAGCCTTGTTACATTTATGAAAGTGATTTAAGTCGAGAAAATGATAATGGTGATGCCGTTGGTACATTTGAAAGGCAATTAACGAACTGTGAGTGTAGGTTAGTGTACTGTTGTCCTATACTGTTGTGTGTATACTGCATTGTACTGTAGTGCACTGCATTATACTGTAGTAGTGTGTAGCATATTTTACTGTACCGTAGTGTAGTTTTGTGTCATACAGTACTGTAGTTGAGTTGCGTGTAGGGTACTGAAGTATACTATGGAATAATGTAGTGTACTGTACTGCATTGTTCAGTAGAGTAGTGTAGTATACTGTACTGTATTTGACTGTAGCGTGTAGTGTTGCGTGCACTGTAGTGTACGTAAAATAAATAGAGTGTAATGTAGTGTACTTGACGTTAGTGGAGTATATTGTATTGTGGTGTAATTATGTGTACGGTCTTGTAGTGAAGTGTTGTGTACAGTATTATAGTGTATTGTACTGAACTGTATTGCACTTGACTGTAGTGTAATGTATCCTGTACAGTAGTATATCGTATTATACCGTCCTGTATTGTAGTGTAGAGTACTGTAGTGTATTATATGTATGTGTAGTGTAGGGTGTACCAGATAATAATGTAGTGTAGCGTAAGGTACTGTATCCTTTACTGTAGTTGATGGTACTGTAGCTTGTAGTGTACTGTACTGTAGGTTAGTGTACTGCACTTGAGTGTAGTGTAGTATAGTATACGGTAGTGTACTGTTGTCTATTGTACTGTAGAGTAGTGAGGCCTTTGCTGTTCCGTATCGTATGTTACTGTACTGCATTGTATAGTAGTGTACGGGACACTATTAGAATGTATAGTAGTGTAATGTATAATATGTTATTTAAGTTTAATGTGTTATAATGTACTGTGTTGTTTTGTACTTACAGCTTGAATAATTAGTAATAATATTTAATAAATATAATAATACTTATTGACTAATAAATAATTGAAAGTCATGAATTGTGAATGTAATGTAAAACATTGTTTCACATACATTGGTTAAATGTATGTATGTCATACATTGGGTATACATTTTGTTTTATATAATGAAATTTCAATACGTAATTGTCATGAATTGCTGGAGTATCCAATTATGTCGAGGTGACCAATGACAGTACAGGTTGCGAGAATGTGACGTGAACATCAAATTGGACTCGTGATTGGTTGTTGAGTCGACGTGGTGGGCGAGTAGCAACGGAACGTTATTTTGACCGTAGCAGTCGCAGAGTACGGGTGTACAAGTTAGTGTTTTAGGGCGTGTTGTTACTGTGAGGTGGTACCCCGTTACCCTTTTTGGGTCGCTAGGGCTAAGAGCCCCCCTAGGTTACTCATTTTGTACAGCGTCGAAACTGGAATAGATAGGAAGAAAAAAAAAATTGACAGCCTGCGTATATAGGTTGTTGGATGCATAAGTTTGCGAGCCTTCACAGTGTTTAAGAGAGAAGTGGATAAGGACGTGCGAAGGATAGCTGATGAAGCAGGGTGTGAGTGATACGTAAGGTTGCGAGCAGCCGCGTCGAACAGGGTGGTTGATCATGGCGGCAACGAGGAGGCGTGGTCGACGACCGGGCGGCGGGAAGGGTAAGGGGTGGAAGGACTTGAAGGTAAAGTATATATGAAGTCGTATATTTTAGGCGTGAGCCATAATTAGTAATAAAATAGAAATATCGAGTATGCAGTGAAGTGTGTAAAAAAAACCGCATTGTTCTTATTGAATGTTGTAATTGTTTGAAGGTGACGGGTTTCGTGAAATGAGGCGATTTGAATGTGGAGGAGACGACGGTGTGATGGGATCAGTGTTGGAGTGAGCTGTGGCAGCCGAGCAGACGGTGGTGGGAGATGTCCCGGTTGAGGTAGATGTGCTACTGGAGTTTGATATGATAGAACATAATTGTAAGGCAAGTAGGTATTAAATACGTAGTTAGGGATGTTAATATTTGAATGGTACCTTGTTTAAGTTGTAAATAGGTGTTTAATCATGTAAAGTTAAATGTTGAGAAGCATAGTAAATATGTAGTCAGAGTAAAGTTAATATTGGGTGTGTGTTCCCACCCTGTGATGCTGTAAGAGCTCGAAAAGGCGTTGCATATGGAGTTTTGATGTAAGAGTTGAAAAAATAGGAGTTACATGAAAATAGTTTAATGCCAACGTGTACTTGGTTTCAGTAAAGTTATGGTATAGGCATGATGCAATGAATGATATATGTAGCATATAGTAAGTGTTGGTTTGTTGCAGGTAATATGGTGGAGAATGTGAGGACCCCTGGGCTGTGTGGAGGAGCACAGCGAGACGCCGGCAGTTCAGTGTTCGTAAAGAGTTGGTAGTGTGTGAAGTGTTTGGTCGATGTTTGGGCCGTTTCCTACAGAGTAAAGGTGAGTTAATTTTGTTAGCAGTTTGATTTTCACGTTGAGGCTGGCGAGAGTAGTTAGGGTAAGTTAAATGTGACAGGAAGTGTGTTTAGGCGAAATGTGTTGACGTAGTGAGAAATGTATTAGTGAAGTTTAAATAGAAATGTTCCTTTAGTGTTTGTTGTAATTTTGTTGATATAACGTGATGGGTGGGAAAGTTAGGAAATTGTTTAGTAATAGAACATGTAATTTAGTGAGTCATGTTGCAGTGGGAAATTGTCGCCATAAGAGAAAGTAGGGATGAATAAAAATAGTTAGTCTGAAATTGTACATAGGTGATGAGTCGGACTGTTAAGAGCGCATGTAAAGAGGGCTAAAACCTCAGTGGAATGAGTTGACGTGTTGAAGGCTACGTTACATAGGTGTTAAATGAAGTCGTTTATTAATAATAAAGTAGCCAGAAAGGGAAGTGTACCGGGCTTAAGGGGGTGGTGTATATTGAAGGGAGACTGAGTGTAGTTTGATTGAATGAAATAGACGTTATGACGATCGGGAGTGTTTGATTGGCAAATATGTTAGACATTTTTCACCTGACTGATGAAGGGATTCGATTTGCGGCATGCAATAATTGATTTGTTGTTTGATGGTGTTAGGTTGATATCGTGGTGAAATAAGTGGGTGTTGGAGCAGTACTACAGTCGTGTTCTTGGTCATCGCGAGTGGTTTGAATGAAAAGTAAATAGGGTGAAAATGGGAGTCATTAAGGTGTCAAATGAACATAAATGTTAGTTGCGTAAAATAGTTAATCTAGAATAAATTGTAAATGATGGCCAAATGTATTGGTTTGAAACATAAGAGTAGTGAATTTGATAGTGAGAGTTGCGTTGTTAAAAATGTGTTGATAGTTGTTTTTGAGCTTATAGTTTTTGAAGTGTGCGTGTATTGTAAATAGTAATGTGGATAAGGGAAATGTGTAGTATATGAATGTTAATAATGCTAAGTACAAATAAAAATGTGAGGTAAAAGGGTTGAGTAGCTTAGACGTTGATAACATCGTGTAGGTAGTTAAGGGAGAGATGGAAGTGTTGAATGGCGAAGGTAAAGTGTATTGCATATAAGTTACAAACGAATGATATATTGAGTTTGTTGTAGTGCAGAGTCGCTGATGATATAGTTGTATTATTTGTGGGGGTGTAATAGTAAAATATATAAAAAGAAAATGTAGAGAAATGTATGGGTAGGTTTGGGTGTGAAGTGCCGTCGTTACTGTGATCATAGAGGACAGTAGATGTGTGGTGAATGAATATAATATTTAGATGAGAAATGAATATATAGTTGTAGGTAGTGATGATAAGTAAAAGAATTAGTTATTGTAGGGAATATAATAGTTAGAAAAGATAGGTAAATTGTTAGATATAAATATGTAAAAATAAATGTGGTGAATGTAGTAGTTTAGTTAGAAAGGCAGAAAATGTTATGATATAGACCCAGTTAAAAATTGTTGTGTAGTGAATAGATAAGTCATGTATTATAGTATATAGGTATGTGAATGGTATATTAATAACAATGGAAAAGTTTATGGTGGTTGTGTGTTAGTTTGGTAGAATATATAAAATGAGTGGGAAATGGGAAATTAATATATATCCGTATTATGTTACAGATGGCGAGATCATGGTAATCATCGTGGTTGATGGAATGTGAGGCAGCGGACTTTGACGTACAAGTTAACCGGGTGGAGGATGTGCAAGACAGAATATTGGTGAATAGAAGGATGAGGCGACGCATAACGTGAATAGAAAGGGGTTGATAAATTGAAAGATACGAAGAAGGGACAATAGAGAATGTTGTATCGTGATAGGAAATGTTACACTATTGAAGATTGATTGAAATATGAAATGATAGTTGAAAGTGGTACCTTGAAGGGGAAATTGTTAAGCAGAGATCGTAATTTTGTGTTAATATTGTAGAATATTTATTGTAATGAATAACTAAGTTACGTATTATAAGTTGAAATAGTGTTTGGATGATAGAGGGGGCCAAATGATTTGGTTGTGAATGAATGTTTGCGTGAAGTTGTGGAAAATGTGTGAACCGAATGTTATGGAAGGTTTTTAGTACATGTGTGAGTTAATAAGTCGTGTAATAAATGACCTAAATATAAACATTATCCAATGAATGATGTTGTTGTTTGCTGTTTTAGTTTACCAATAATTATAATTGAAGTAAGAAATTGGATGTAATGAGGTAATTATGAAAGGTGTAGTGAGAGGAGCAAGTTTGAGTAAGATTGTGAATTCGTATGTGGTTTGAGGCATTATTTGTAAGTGTTTGTGAAAATAGAGATTTATGTTTGGGGTGTTGATTGTTGTTGTGAGGGTTGATGGTGGGGTGTATGTTTTGAATGAGGTTGTTTGTATTGTAATTGTGTGTGAGGAGTTGTTTGGTGTGAGTTTGTTGACGTTGTATTGTGAAAATGTAGTTTTAGGAGTGTCTAAGCTGCATAGTGTTGTTGCATATCGTTAGATTTTGGCTGTGAGGCTTAGGTGTCGTTAATTTTAGGGATTTCCGGATTGGTGTTTGGATATGACGTGTGGTAGTGATTGTAGGGGTGTATTGCTTGAAAAGTGAAATACGTGTGTCTGTCTGGTCGTGGGCCGTTGAATGATGAAGAATAAGGCAGGGGAAACGTTTGAGTTTGATGAAAAGCATTGAAGTTATTATGGGTTTTGATGCATTAGCGTTATGAATAGGTTAGAGTGCATCCTGCGTGCTGGGAGATGTCCCGTGAGTTATTATTGTAATTGAGAGACTGGTCGTCGTTGTTGTATGGTGTAGTGTTGTTTTTTTTGGCGTGAGATTGAGGGTAGTGGGGCATTGTCAATGTATAATTGATAGTTAATTGCTAAATGTGTGGTCGTGGAAGCGTTGTTGGTAGTTTAGTAAGACTAGGGATAATGGCTGGACGTGGAGGAGCGTGTGGTACGTTGGGTTCCCAATGAGAATGGTGTGTTTTGATGGTATGTTAGGTTGATGAGGTAGTGTTTTTTGTTGATCGTGAGGGTTGATGGTGTTGTTATGTAGGGGCGTGTGATTGTTGTAGATAGCGTTGCCGGTTGTGTGGAGGAATAGTAAAAATGGTGTATGGGTATGAAATGTTTGTGAATAAAATAAGATAGCAAGGATGGATGGATTGGTTGGTTGCATATGGAGTAGTGTGGAGAGGCTGCACTTGTGAAGATGGTGTTGAAAGTGTTTGGTCGTGTTTGAAGTTAAATGAATGAATTATGTGATGGTTGTTGTTTGTTTAGGGGGAATGAGTGTAATGTTTGTGTGTCAGCGTTTGTATGTTGAATGATGTTTAGTGTATGTTGAATTAGTTTTTGTTATTTTGCCTGAAAAGTAGATGTTGGTAATGGATGCATTTTGTTTTCGTTACTTGGAAAGAAGAGAATGAATGGAGGGCGGAAGTGATGTTGTAGGTTGTAGTGAAAAAAATGTTCGTTATTGATGACGTTAAAAGATGAGGAGGATATCTTGAGGTTTGTGGGTAATGTGAGTGAGGTGGTTAAGGGTGTTGACAGTATTTGTTGTCTTTATAGGATGAGTGTAAAAAATTAGAATATAAGACGTTTGTGTGGTATTGTGAGGAAAGTGTTAGTCGAGATGTGATTTGGGTGTATTTTATTTTGGATATGAATGGTAGGGTAAGTGTGTAGTTTATGAAATCGATGTTAGTATGAGTGTTGAATTGTAGATAGTATTGAAATGAAACCTGTAAAAGCGTTTAGTTGACAATAGAAAAAGATGGATGAACATAAGTGTGTATTTTAGGTGAATAATTAGCATAGAATTGAAAATTGAAATCGATAGAATGTATAAATGTTAGTTGTAAACGTGTGTATAATGAGGAAAATAGGAGATATAGAGTTTGATGTAAATGTAATAGGCGTATAATGGGAGAGATGTATTATAGTGTTTCGATGTACGTTATATGTAAATAGAAAACGTGTATAGTATTTATATATATAATGTTGATGTTGTATATAAAAGTAATGAATAGATATGTGTTAGTGTACTAAATAAAGAGCTGTAAAATAGTGATAGATATAATACAAATAATTGATACAAGTATGATTGAAATGAAAGGTATGAGAGGAATGTTTGGGAATCGTAGCCCCCTCCCCATCCGGGCCGTTGGCGTCGTGAGGGGGGCTTGGTGGACGGCTGCCGGAGTGTGATGCTCCTATGGGCAGTCCTCTGTCCTTTTCTGGCCTTGCACTCCTGCTGCTGTCTTCTCCAATTGTGTCGGATCACGTTTCCTTTTCCTTGTGTTTGGTTTTTCTCCCCCCTCTTCTCCTATCTGGTTGTCGTTTCCTGGCGACCTTTTGGTTGTTTTGGAATCTTTGTATTTTGACGGCCGGGTGCTTGAGGAGGCATACTCTTGCACCCGTAGAACTGTAGTACCGAACGTCTCGAGCGAGGGGAACCTTTTATTGTCAATCGCCCTTTCGTCGCTGAACCCGATCTCGATGGACTGACGGTTGTTAAGGTGGCGTTTGTGGGGCATATACTCACGACGCACCCCTAGGGGGCCCTGGCATGATCGGCGATAGCTTCCTGTTGGGTGTCGTGCCTCTAATTGTGGCTCCATGGTGGGACATTCGTGGCTGAAATTGTCATTTTTCGTCTCTGTGGTTGAATGTTTCCGTTGTAGCCTCTCAGGCTCGTTGGGTGGGCGACCAAGCCCCCGAGTCGGCGTGTATTGGAAGACGAGGCTCTGTAGCTCCCGCTGCGTTGGGCCCCGACGTTGCTTCTCCTTTGACCGTGGTGACTTCTTCCCCCAGCTCCCCTCCCTCCTCTGTGGTTGGGTCGAGCCTCCAGCCCCCGGTGGTGACTAGTTCGTCCCCTGGTGTGGCTAAGTCTTTCGTTGTGACTACTGCGCCTTTTGACCCCTCTCTTTAGGGGTTCTCAATGGCGTTGGCGCCCCAACCGCACTCGGTGGATTCCTTGTCGTGCCGATGCGTATGAGGCGTTGTTTGGTCGTGCTTCATGGGCCAAATACTTTGATCTCCTCCCTCTTGATTTTGCGCCTCCTGACGATTTCTCCCTCCATCGGCATGTTGTAGAATCCGTGGATGCATGTGTTACTTTGAACCCCACTCGTGTCGGTACACGTGTCGTTGGTGCTCCTTCTCAGCTAGGATGTGGCTTCCCGCTTGGCTGCCTTATCTTGGCTTGGCGAGACCCCTGTTGGGGTCTCCAAGAACGTTGAGATGAATGCCAGTGTTGGCAGTATTCTCCTCCCACCCCATGTTGTAACCGGTGTTCGGAATCTGCAGGATTGCCACGATGATATTCGGCATATCCTTGATGGCCAAGGCCATTCTGTCCTCCAGGTTGACTCGTCCCCCTCGTGGTCGTCGCCGTGAACCCCTTCGCGTTGTGAAGATCACCTTTGATGGTAGGACCCTTCCATCCTCTGTCATTCTTGCTGGTGCTAGGTGCTGTGTCAGGAGTATATTCCTTGTCCTCGACTTTGTAACAAGTGCTGGAGGTTTGGGCATGGTGCCCTCGGCTGCTCTGGGAGTGGTTTTGTCTGTCCTTTGTGTGGGAGTGAAGGTCACTCTAAGTCGGAGTGCACTTCTCGCCAGGTTCGT